TTTGTAGTTCAAACTGACCTTGCAGTTCAGCGTGTTACCCACAGTGCCACAGCCCTAACTAATCTCCTGATCTTTAGCCTCTGCACTGTAATCTATCCTACATGCTTGTCTTTATAAAAAATGAATTACTTATCCATCTGTTTATTCTTCTACCCATTCATCCATCGGCCCACCTACCCATGCATGCAGGCATCCAGCCAGCCATACAACATTTTACACTGTTGTTATTAGGTGCTGTCCAGTCACCTCTGATCACAGTGTCCCTATGCACAACAGAACTACACACTGCCCGGTTCTGTGCCTAGTAAAATTTACTTGAGTGTGATATTAATGATACTGTTCAATAATTTCAGCATTTCCTAGGGTCACCTTTTTTTGGAAGTGGCACAGACATGGACCAGGTAGCTGTCTTCCAGTTTTCTTGGTATCACCAACTGAGTGTCTCCAGCAATGCATGTGTTTGCTGAACCATTTCTCTTTGAATTTCATCAGTTCATCAATTCTGGAGACTTGTGTTTTGCCAATGCCTTCAGTGCAGCTTGGACTTCTTTCTTTAATACCATAGGTTCTTGATCATATACTAATTCTTGAAAAAGTTAAACATAAACCAATTCTTTTTTTGGTACAGTGACTTTGTGCTTTCTTCCACTTCCTTTGGATACTTTCTGCATCATTCAATATTTCACCCTGAATGTTTTCTTTAGTTCCTTCAGCTTGAGATAAGCTACCAGTTCCTCCCTTATTGTGAGCCTGAACCACCGACCTTGCAGTTTAAATGACTTTGTTGTCTGACGCATTAGCCCACAGCAGTACACCAGGACTCCGACAATAATAGATCCTGATTAATCCAGGTCAATCAAGGTCATTCCTGCCATCCCTGCTTCTCAGAAGTGGTTTAAAAGTAAGCATGTGACTCAATACTGATAATGACATGGAGCAATAATATGATAATGGGCATCTGAGAAAGGCTTCTGCACTCCTCTAACAAAGAAATGCTGGTTTCTTTTCTTCCTTTGGATAGTGTCATTTCTGGATATAATGCCTGAAGAGCTTTCTTGCCACAAACCTTATGAATAAGCAGAAGGACAGGAAGGAAGAGCCTGAGGAATTGCAATGAGAAGGCGCTGTAGCACACTCTTCCTCTAAGGGCCCTGCACGTATTATAACACACACACTCCCCTACTCCTAACTTACCAACTATCTTGTTATCACACATTTCCCACTTATAGTCACAGTAAGAAACATACTATTTGACTCTTCTGCACATTAATGATATACATCTGGGAGTAACAAACACAATGGTGTGAGAAGACAGTAATGCTGGCTATGAAGGATAAGGTTATGTATCAACTTAGTGGGGCCCTGGTCCTCAGCGGTTTGGCAGCTATGTAAGGATGGCGTCATCCTCCATTCTGTGATCTGATATGGTCACCCACCATTTTTGTGTAACATCAATCTTTGCATAATGACTTGGCCTTTGGGGAAGAAAACATGTTCTTAAGTGAGGATACATATATATATATATGAGCTTCAAAAAAATCCATGGAAAATTACATTATCTTTTCATTCTATTTTTTTCACAACCTTTTTGAGGTCGCCTCATATATATGTGCATGCATGAGTGTGTGTGTATACATACATTAAATATGGAGTCCTTGTGTGGTACTATAGGATCAGCACTGGACTGCTAACCACAAGGTCAGTAGTTCAAACCCACCAGCACCTCATAAGAAATCCTATATAGGGTCGCTATAAGTTGGACTGACTTGACAGGACTGAACAACAACATAGTTGTACATTTAATTTATTATTTATATATTTTACTATATGGCATTGTGGGTTAATGCGCTAGACTACAAAGTCAGTTTGAACTGCAAGGTCGGTGGTTCAAGCTCAGCAGCTGCTCCTTGGAAACCCTATACAGGGTCTCAATGGGTCAGAACTGACTAGATGGCACTTAACAACAAAACAACAATAGTGAAAATAGAGTCCTGATATAGCACTATAGGATAAACACTAGACTGGTAACCTTAAGGTTGGTGGTTCAAACCCACTAGCTGTCACTCAGAAACTCTATAAGGGTTGCTATGTGTTGGAACAGACTGGACAGCAGTTAACAATGACAACAATATTCAAAACAATAAACTGGAATGAAACAGAAAAAAATGTGAAAACAACTATATTGTGAAGACAGAGGAAGGAAAAAGATATATGAGAGGCCAAAGACTGCCTTCTAACACACTGAGAAGCCCACCAATTCTCAAGCTGAATGACTCAAGAGACAGAAGAAAGTGCAGACTATTTAAAATAGAGAAGAAACAAAGGAACAGTGGAAGTTGTTGCCTTGGGATTGGGGTGGAGAGAGAGGGTATGGAAAGAGGAAAGAAGCTAGAAGACTGGTGCCTGCTAGCACAAGCCTTTTAGCATCACTTTGTTTTTAAAATTATGGTCATGGATAAAAATTTAAATCCATAAAATAAAATGCCAGAAAATTTAAGGAGACAGTAGTCAGTTCACATCAAATACCTAGTAGCATGGATGACTCCCATTCCCTGTTGGTGAACTTTATTCTGTTTGTCACACTGGGCTTTAGTTTATGAGTCTTCTCCTACCACTCTGGATGGAGACAAGTAGATACAGAAATGCTTCTATTAGGGAATTTATGATGTGCTTTGAAACAGCATGGTGGTGACAGGCAGGAATTGCCTAATGTTATATTTATCTGAGGTCCAGCGCTTTGTTTTATTTGGGCCACTCGCCTGATTTCTTTTTCATCTCCATCCTTATTACTTTTGCAAAATAAAATGTGGACTCAGGAGTGTGTTGGATAATGGGTTTTCCATTGTAGCTCATCAGCTGGGCAAAAGTCACTGGCCCATGACTGTAGCTTAAAGAAATTACTACTGAATAAGAGAAAAATGATGCTAAAGCTTACTACATTACGTGTGGCACATGAACTTACTTCTATTGGCTGACGGTGTTCTTTTTCATGAAAGGGTTCATTTCTGTGTGCACTGTAGAATAAATACTGTGCCACAGGGTCAGTTTGAACCACAAGGTTGGCAGTTCAAACTCACCAGCTGCTCCTTGGAAACGCTATAAGGATCACTATGAGTCAAACTGAGTTGACAGAATTTAGCAACAATAACACCAGTAGCAAGTGGAAAGGCTAAGAAAATATCACTGATCCTATACTTACCAATTTACCTCTCTGAGGCTATTTTTGTGTGAAATTACAATAAAACATATAAAGTATCCAGTATAGTATAAGGCCTTTTTTCAATGAATGTCATGGAATACCCATTTTTTACATTGTTATCCATAGTTGGTTATGATCCATAGTTTAATGTGTTTGCATATGTCTTTAGTTAAGATCCATCTGAGGTCAACAATAATGTCCCCGGTACCATGTCATCTTCTAAATTTGGCTTGAATTTCTGGCAGCTCTTTGTACCATTGCAAACATTTTTGAATGAGCTTCAGAAAAATTTTTGCTTCCATGTTATATTAACGTTACTATACAATGATTTCCACACTCCATTGGAATGGCACAATTAGGAATATGAATGTCTTCCAATTGGTTGGCCAGGTAGCTGTCTTCCAAATTTCTTAAAATAGACGAGTGAGGGCCACTAGCACTGTATCAGTTTGTTGAAACATTTCAACTTGTGTTCTGTCAATTCTTGTAGCCTTGTTGGGGTTTTTTGTCAATGTTTTCAGTGCAGCTTGAACTTCTTCCTTTAGTACCATTGGCAAATGATCATATACCACCTCTTGAATGGTTGGCCATCAACCAATCCTTTTTGGTACAGTCATTGTGTGTATTGCTTCCATCTTCGTTTTCAATTTTTGCATTCCAATCACAAGAAATTATCAATGCATCCTGATGACATGTTTGATCAATTCAGACTACAGAAGTTGGTAGAATTCTTCAATTTCAATCATCACTTATACTGGTTGATGTATAAATCTCTAATACAGTGGTATTGACTGGTATTCCTTATATGCTTATGGATATTATCCTACCATAGAGAGTATTAAACTTCAAGATGGTTTTTTGAAATGCCATGCCATTCCTCTTCAATTTGTCATTCTGGCATAATAAATAATTGTCTGATTCAAAATGGCCAAGTCCATTTCAGCTCAATAATGCCTAGGATATCGATCTTTATGCTTTCCATTTCCTTTTTCATGGCTTCCAATTTTCCCAGAATCATATGGCCCTTTTTGTTGTTAAGTACTGTTGAGTTGGTCCCAACTCATAGTGACTCTATATAGGGTTTCCTAGGGGCAGAAGGAGCTCTGGTAGCGGAGTGGTTATGAATCGGGCTGCGAACCTTAAGGTTAGCGGTTCGAAACTACCAGCCGCTCCGTGGGAGAAAGATGAGGCTTTCTACTCCCGTAAAGATTTACACCCTCGGAAACCCTGTACAGGGTTGCTATGGGTCGGAACCGACTCGACGGCACTTAACAACAACAACAGGGGCACTTGGTGGGTTTGAACTGATGATCTTATGGTTCACAATCCTAAGTAACAAATAATTAAAGTGTCATGATATTTTGGGAAATAAATATATTTGGCATTTTGAAAGCTGCCTAATAATGCTCTGCATTAGAGAGTCAGGGTATCTTTGCTGAGATGTATCATGTAAGAATGTACGACACTCATGGGTTAAGCATTGGGCTGCTCACCCACAAGAATGTATGGCACTAGAGAAAAACCTGTGTCCTTTCTATCCTATTCTTGTTTTGTTGTGTTTTTTTTAAATGTTGCCATTCCAAATGGATAAGGAAGACCAGAAAAGAACTCAGAGAGCCAAGCATAAATGCAAATTCCACCTGACTCTAAGTTTAGAGAAAATTAATCTAGACAAACATTATTTCTGACATTCACAACTGTTATTACTAATAAGTAATATGTTCATGTACCTATAAACTTCAGATTATCCAACATGAAACCCAGCAGCATTCTAGTTACACAACCGTAGAGCTATTCATACCTGGGTCCTGTTTGCTTTCAACTTCACTGACCAAGAATCCCATGTGATAATTTCCCACCTGTTGTGAATAACTTTTTTCTAGTTCACAAACTGATGGATAATGAGTGACAAACAGGGTCAAGGATTTCACCTAAAACAAACAAACAAAAATACAATAAACAAGCATTTATTTTTAAATGTTATTTTATTTATAACTTCCCCCAACTATCTATTTTGAAAACAAAATCCCCAAATTCTTAAGATACAAGAATAGTACAATGAGCATCCACACACTCTTTACTTAGAAATCAATTGTTAATATCTTGCCATAGTTTCCCTTTAGCCTCTATACATATACACACAGACACCCACACACACTTTTTCCTGACCCATCTGAGAATTAGTGTAGACATCAAAACACTTCACCCCTAGATACTTAAGTTTTAGTCTTCTACGAACAAGACATCCCCTTAACTAATCCGAATAAAATCACAACACTGAAGAAATTTAGCGCTGACATCATATTACTATTATCTAATTGTTGTTGTTTTGTTAAGTGCCGTCGAGTCGATTCTGACCCATAGCAACCCTGTATAGGGTTTCCAATGAGCAGCTGGTGAACTTGAACCACCAACGTTGCAGTTCAAATAACTTTTCAGTCTGATGCAGTAGCCCATAGTGCCACACCAGGCCAGTCCGTATTTAAATGTCTCAACTGTTCCAATAATGTTCTTTAGAACATTTCTTCAAAATCAAGTATCATGTCTCTTTAGTTTCCATCTACCTTGAAGAGTTCTCCAGTCTTTTCATTTTGTCCTTTAAGACATTAACATTTTTGAAACATCTAGGATAGTAGTTTAAGGAACTCTGGTAATATAGTGGGTTACAAGTTGGGCTTGTAACCATAAGATCAGTAGTTCAAATCTGCCAGCCACTCCATGGGAGGAAGATGAAGCTTTCAGGAGTTCTGGTGTGGTGCTATAGGATAAGCACTGGTCTGCTAACCACAGGTCAGCAGTTCAAACCCACCAGCTCCTCCTCGGAAACCCTATGCAGGGTTATTATGAGCTGGAACTGACTCGAGATGGCACTTGACAACAACAACCAAGATTTACAGCCTTGGAAACCCTATATAGGGTCACTGTGAGTTATAATCAACTTGATAGCATACCACCACCACCACCAGATAGTTATTTTGTAGAGTATTCTGCATTCTGTCCTCAGGTAAATGCTGCCCTTTTGCTCTCAAATGGTTGGCCAGTCTACGGTGTGCAGACCTCACTAGTGTTGTTGTCTCCACTATATACCTATTTATATCTTGACTGAAAATTGAGCTACAGGGTGAGGGAGCTGAAGGGTAACCAAGGGCCATAGTCTTGGTGTTCCCTCAACCTGTATCTGACCAGTAAGCCTGGTCATTTTCATAATTTTGAGCTTTGTACCAGATTTCCCCCCACTCTATCGAGGACCTCCTAATATGATCCCTTTCAGAGTACTTGGTAGCTGTAACCAGGTCCCATCTAGATTTTCTGGTCTCAGGGTTGTGAACACTAATGCCACATAGCCCATTAGTTCACTTGTCTAATTATTTCCAAGCTTTTTAAATTGTCATCACTGTTCGTTCCTCTGGACATAGAGAGGCCAATAATTGTACTTAGATGTTGCTCATGAACTTTTTTTTTTTTTTTTTGCTCATGAACTTTTAAGATCCTAGTTGCTACTCAGCAAAGTAGAACTGGAATACTGTCTTTGTAGATTATGTTAGGCCAATTTTCTAGGGTGCCCCCAAGACTAAGGTGTCTGGTAATGTCTAAGAAATTTTCACATTTTATCCCCTGTATGCTCCACCAAATTCATGGTTATATTTGCAACAAAGGTAAATATTTATGTATGCGTATCCTCTGACAGACCTTTATATATGTAGGGGTATACTCTCACTCTCCATCCTACACCCATTCAGCCTGGGTTCTACCCATCATGCATCTACCCATCCATCACTGTTACTGCAGGATTGTGTATACAATAGTACTGAACTGTTTCCTTGAAATCTTGTATTCATGTCTCCCCTGCCTTTATTATTCTTCTGCCTACTTCCCTCTTATTACATATTGCCTTCCCCATCATCCAAGTTGACACATGCCTACCCTCTCATCAGTGAATTACTTCCCCTTCCCTCCCACCCCTGGTAACCATCAAAGAACGTTTCTTTTAGTGTGAAAACGTTTTCTTGATTTTTTACAGCAGTGGTCTTTTGTGACTTACTAATGATCCTCAGCATAATGACCTCCAGGTTTATCTATGTTTGAGGTGTTTCTCAGATTCATTATTCTTCAATGTTGCATAGTATTCCACTGAGTGTATATACCAAAGCTTGTTTATCCATTCTTCCACTTACGGGCATTTAGGAGAATTCTTTTTGACTACTTACTTCTAACAAATTTTATCTAAAAATAACACTTTTTTCCATTAACATTTAAAATATTCAAAAATTATTATATAGTGTTGTTGTTAAGCACCATCAAGTTGATTTTGAATGAGGTTTCCAAGGAGTGGCTGGTGGGTTTGAACTGCCAACCTTGTGGTTAGCAACCCAGTGCTGATTCTACAGTGCCGCATCAGGATGTAGTAGAAGCAATGTAAACAGAGATGACAAATTAAATTTGCTCCTGAAAGTCCTAAGTGAATTGCTTAAATATCATATGAATGCTTTTGGTATCTAGCCTCCAAGATGGCACCAAAGATTCTCTTCCCAGTATTCATGCCATTCAGTCATCTCAAGCTGGCCCTGTGTGTCAGCAGAATGGCAATGACAGCACAAACCTAGGAGGCTAAGTCATTAACCGCACTGCTGCCTCTACCTTAGCCTCTTGGATTGCTTGCTCTGTGAGGACAGTCAAGCAGTCCTGTGGAGAAGTTCAGATGGATAAGATCTGAGGCCACTGCCCAGAAGCCAATACCAATTTGCCAGCAGTGCCAATATGGGCACTGAGATTGGATCCTCCAATCTCAATCAAGACTTTAGAAGAAGACTGCAGCCCTATCTGACGACGCCAACCATATGGAGGTGCTTAGCCCAAACCACCCACCATACCACTCCCAAAGGGCTCACCTACAGAAACTGTAAGACATAATAAATTACTGTTGTTTTTGGCCACTAAATTTCAGGGTAATTTGTTAAGTAGTCATTTGTTGTTGTGCTGTGGAGTGGGTTCCGATTGATAGTGATTCTGTCTAGGGTTTCTGAGGAGCAGCTGGTGGGTTTGAATTGCGAACCTTGTAGTTTACAGTGCAGTGCTGATCTTACAGCGCCACACTAGGGGTCCTAAGCAGTCACAGGAGCTGATAAATTATTATATAATGGAGTCCCTGGGTAGCACAATGGTTAACATGCTTCATTGCTAACCAAAAGATTAGTGATTCCAGTCCACCCTGGAAGAAAAGGCCTGGAGATGTACCGAAAAATCAGTCACTGAAAACTTTCTAGAGCACAGTTCCACTGGGATGTATATGGGGTCGCTGTACTATTTAAAAAATTATATTCTAGAGAAAAATGAAATCAAAATCAAAGGTGGCCAGTTCCATCTTAAAATTTGTCCTGAAGTCTTAAATGAATATTTAAATTGTGTTTTAGATATAGCGAAGTAAGTTTACTGAAATTTCCTTGACATACAGTCTCTACAATTGAGTAGACAAGTTATTGAGCTGCATCGTTTTGCAAGTAACAGAGAATCCCTTTTACAATAAAGGAAGTACGCATTTTAAAGTAAGGAACATGTCATCATTAAGTGATCTAATTAAACACAAGGGTTGTTTCTTAAAGTTCATTATTTCCATTTTTTCCACAAACTTTTTGAAGTCCTCTCATAAATATTTAAACACACAAAACTGAGGTCTACATTCAATGAAAAGGGAATTTTATTTCATGTTGTACGTTTTTTGGGAAGAAATATAAGTTAAAAAACCAAAAAAAGCTCCACCGACTACATCCCTTGGGGCTTCAAAAAGTTCATGGAAAATTTCCAATATCTTTTAGTTCCATTTTTTGTGAACTTTTTGAAGCCCATTTGTGTTTAAGATAAGAGACTTGCTGTGGGGGGCAAATGAGGGGAGGGAGGTATAGAGAAAGGAAGACACAAAGAGAAGAGTAACAAAATTTTTAAAAAAAAGATGGAAGTAGAGACAAAATTCAGAGGCAGGTGATAAGAGGGAGAAGAAAGGGAAAGACCAAAATGGACAAAAACAGAGGGAGTAAGAAAGAGGGGATGGTTGATGCAGATATAAAGATGGAAAGTTTGACACAAAGAGATTTCATGCAGAGATGTTTAGATTTGTATGCAAAAAAAAAAGACAAAGGTACCAGAGAGTGATGTCATTCAAACAATCACAAAAGATGAGATTAAAGGCCTTTAAATTGAGATCTTGTAGGAAATTGATTCCACAGGGCAAAAATGTCACCATCTCCTTTTTGTTCTTTCCTCAAGGATTGGACGGTAAGTAGATTATGCCTGTTCTTGATTTAGAGCTTGTCAAGATTAGTTAGATAATGGCTTGGGTGAATATATTGCCATGGAGACCTTTATCCTGCAGACCATTTTGCTTCAGTAAAGAAAGGAAGACACATCCGAAATGTATAAGTATGACTTAGGAGCTCAGTGTATAGGACAATAATGATCAATTATAGGGATAGGGTGAATAACAACAAAAATAATTTTGAATATCTGGATAATGCATGGGAAGTATGTAGCATACATGAACAAAAAGGAAAAAAGGTAGCCAGGATACTTACATCTCTAATAAAATGCTCAAGTGTGGCATAAGCAATGGCAATTCCATCATGGGTGCTTGTCCCTCTTCCCAGTTCATCCAAGATAACCAAGGACTGTGACGTTGCTTTTTTAATTATTTCCGCTGTGTCGGTCAGTTCTTCCATAAAGGTACTCTGTCCTTTATATATATTGTCTGCAGCGCCCATCCTACAAATAAAATGAAGACACCTTAATTTTTCCTCTGAACTTTCTTATTAGAAAGCAAAACATCATTTTACAAACAATAAACATAAAAGACCCTATAAGGTTCTATATGGAGTCCTGGTGTGACACTGTAGAATAAGTGCTGGACTGCTAACCACAAGGTTGGTGGTTCAAACCCACCAGTCTCTCCTGGGAGACCCTATAGAGGGTCACTATGAAGTGAAACTGATTTGAAGGTTCTTAACAATAACAAGATGGATCAGCCAGGTGGCATCGTTGATGGCGTCAAGTGTGGCAGCGGTAGTGAGGTTGGCCCAGGATCGGACATTGTTTCTTTCTGCTGTGCATGGGGTCGCTATGAGTCAGTTCCGACTCAATGGCACCTGACAACAACAACAAAACAATAACAACAACAGGGTTCTATATATTTTGAGCCAATAAGAGCTGAAATGGTATTAAACAGAAGAAAACATGCTGAAGTAATAAGTGCCCAACATCATACTGCACCTTGTTGAGAAACTGAGTATTGGGCAGAGTTTCTGAAAAGAAGGGAAACCTTTAGTCCTGCCTTTTGTTTTCTGCCCATTCTAAGACAAACATTTGCTACTCACAAGGCAAAACAATGTGTCACTACGTCTAAAATCTATGAGTACAAAGAATTTGTACAATTAAAGTTTCTTCCATTGTTTCTTAAGAAGATTCCACATTGGCATTAAAGTACCACACATGAAATAATTTACTTATGCTAGATAAAACTTTCTACCTAGAATTCTAGATGTCTTATGATGGAGTCCTGGTGTGGTGCTGTGGGTTAATGCGTCAGACAGCAAAGCCATTTGAACTGCAATGTCAGTGATTCAAGCTCACCAGCTGCTCCTGGAAACCCTATACACAGTCACTATGGGTCGGAACCGGCTTGATGGCACTTAACAACAACAACAACAATGACCTTATACAGTAGCTAAAGCAGGTTCCCAAAGTGGACTTCATTGAACAGATGTTTCTATGGATGCCAATAAATGGGTCCAAAAGATTTAAGGGAGTTTTTTTGTTGTCAGTGGTCTTGTTAGTATTGTCAGATGCCAGTGAGATAGCTTCTGACTCAGAGAAACCCATGTGCTCTAGAACACAATGTCTATAGGGCCTTCTTGGCTGTAATCTTTATAGAAACAATTCGCTAGGCCTTTCTGCCATGGAGCCCTTGGGTGGGTTTGAATCGCCAACCTTTGGGTTAGTAGTCAACTGCAAATTGCTTACACAACCTAGGCTCCTTCTAAGTGTCCTTAGAGACTTTACTCTATTACACATTGGGTATTTTTTACAGAAGAGTCCAGTACACAGCAGGACCAACTGAAATTTTTCAGTGAGCACCTTGTGGCAATACTGTTCTACAGAATATTTTAGGGAAAAAGCTGATTTAGTCCATAAGGAAACTGAAAAGAAAGGGAAAAACTAGGCAATACTCAAAGTCAGGCTACTAAGTTAAGAGCAAAATTCCAAATTTAGATTTTCAATACACTAGTCAGTGGAATGTGGAAATCATCAGACAATCTGTTTGATATCCCATGTGAGTAAAGTTTTACTAAAGGTAATACAGAAATGGCTGCAAGCATACATTGACAGAGAACTTCCAAGCTGAGTCCAAGCTGGATTCAGAAGAGGACATGGAACAAGGGATATCATCACTGCTGCTGTCTGATGGATCTTGGCTGAAAGCAGAGACTATCAGAAAGATGTTTACCTGTTCTTTACTGACTACGCAAAGGTTTTCGATGGTGTGGATCATGACAAACTATGGACAACATTGCGAAGTATGAGTATTCTGGAACACTTCATTGTGCTCATGAGGAATCTGTACCTGGACCAAGAGGCAGTTGTTCGATCAGAACATGGGAAGACTGAATGGTTTAAAATTAAAAAAGGTGTGTGACAAGGTTGTATTCTTTCACCATACTTATTTAACCTGTATGCTGAGCAAATAGTATGAGAAGATGGGTTCTATGAAGAAAACGTGGCATCAGGATTGGAGGAAGACTCATTAATAACCTGAAATATGCAGACGATACAACCTTGCTTGCTAAAAGTGAAGAGGACTTAAAATGTTTACTGATGAAGATCAAAGAGCACAACCTTCAATATGGATTATTACATCTCAATGTAAAGAAAACAAAAATCTTCACCACTGGACCAATAAACAACATTCATAGCAAAGGAAGAAAGATTGAAGTTGTCAAGGACTTCATTCTTCTTGGATCAACTATCAATACTCACGGAAGCAGCAGTCAAGAAATCAAACGACGTATTGCATTAGGCAAATCTGCTGCACAAGACCTTTTTAAAGTGTTGAAAAGCAAAGATGTCAGCTTGAGG